AGCATCGTCTTCATCACGTACTCGGAGCATCGTCTTCATCACGTTCTCTGAGCATCATCTTCATCACGTACACTGAGCATCGTCTTCATCACATTCTCTGAGCATCGTCTTCATCACGTACACTGAGCATCGTCTTCATCACGTACACTGAGCATCGTCTTCATTACGTACTTTGAGCATCGTCTTCATCACGTACACTGAGCATCGTCTTCATCACGTACTCGGAGCATCGTCTTCATCACGGGTGATATTTGTCCCTTGGTTTAGTTTCTGTGTGGGTTCTGGATTTGTCAGGTTCTCCTCGGGTTCATCACCAGGTTCTCTGTGTGTGTTCTCCTGCTTTCATTCAGATGTTTTATTAATATATTTATTTTAGTTTTTATAATGAAGCACGTTGTGGTTTCCGTAGCCCGCCTCCTGTTTGAGGTTGTTATTTTGAATGTAGGTGCTTTTGGACCAGACTGGTCAACTTCACCTCCCCTAGACCTGTTCCAGGTGCTTTGCCTCCTAGTTGTTGTCCCACGGATCATTTGGAGTCCTACGCTGCAGGTCTTGGGTCTCTTTCAGCTCCAGACTCGGTCCGAGCCGTCTCGTCTCAGCAGTGATTACGTAGCGATGTAAGAGGATGTGACCGGACCTTTTATAACCGGACCGACAACAGCCGAGCAAAGAGAACATTCTGTCAGTGGTGGACCGTCAGGACAGCAAAGCTTTCTCTGCCTAACTACAACCAGAATCACTAACTTACATGTTTTTAAATGAATTGATCAGAATCACTAACTTACATGTTTTTAAATGAATTGTTATAAATGTCTGTTCCGTTCATTTCAAAACTTTTCTCCTGGTTGTGCAGCTTCAAGTATCATCTGTTGTATCTGTCTCTCAGATAAATCAACAGAGATGAACTAACTTGCGGTCAAAGGGGATAAACTGAGACATTTGATGAATAAAATCTCTACATTCATCATGTCATGACTTTAGATTTTACTCCTGCAACATTTAAAAGTTGTGAGGATAAACAGGTAAATTAAAAAAATCTGTTTTTTATGATGAAAGTAAGGCGTCTGTGCAGCGTCCAGCTCGAGTTATTTCTGTTTCTAACCTAATGAAGTCATGAAGGAGGAAATTAGCTGGTCAGTAATCAGCTGAAGGAAAGCACCACCTGCCTCCTGCCTGTCACATCATGTTGGTCTCATCGCTCAGAACCGCCATTTATGGGTCAGGACCTGAGATTTAGAGTTCCAGAAAGGAATGGGCCGGAATTATCTTTATCTGTATTATTTGTCAGGGATCAAGTACAGAAAAAACATTAAACTCAAACTGACTGGAGCTGCTCTGTACCGGATTATGGCTTTCAGCTGATCTGCAGTCGCTGTGGCAGACAAGAAAAGATGCCGGACATCACGTGAGAGAACACACTCTACATGTCAGAACACACGCTACATTTCAGGGAACATACTACATGTCAGACAACATACTACATGTCAGGGAACATACTACATGTCAGACAACACACTACATGTCAGAGAACACACTCTACATGTCAGAGATCATACTACATGTCGGACAACACTCTACATGTCCGAGAAAACACTCTACATGTCAGACAACATACTACATGTCAGAGAACACACTATAGGTCAGACAACACACTCTACATGTCAGAAAACACATATTACATGTCAGAGAACACACTCTACATGTCAGAGAACACACTGCATGTCAGAGAACACATTCTACATGTCAGCGAACACACTCTACATGTCATAGAACACA